CTGTTCAGAGATCACTGCGGTATCCCAACGCGAACGATACCGCGGTATTTTGAATACGTAGGATTAACTGGAAGCAGATGATCCGATGAAGACATGCATATATCTATACATCCACTACTGCCTCGTACTGAATTGCATGATTATGCTAAACCCGCGGTGTGCAGCTCTGCAATCTTTTACCGCTTGTGGCCTGGAACCATTCTGTGATGTGGAACAGGTAGTCTGGGAATTTTAGTTTTCCGTGGTGCGGTGTTGTTGACATCATCTGTTGTTACATTTATTTGCATAGTAACTCACTGAGCAATTTTTCGAATTTTCTTTTTTCGGCACCCTCCGAGACAACATTTATGGTACTTGTGGACAGGGCCCAGTGGCCAGTAACGCTGACCTGATGATGAAAACCGAGTATTCGACTTTAGCCGCGAAACTGAATTTTCGTGGATCGAAACGTCTTAACTACCCGTTTCCGGTCCTCCCTCTCCCCTTCGTCTTTTTACTCCCCTTAATTCTGCCATTTAATTTACATTTTTTTATGCATTTCGCTACCGAGGCAACCAGTTCATTTGTTTTGATGGTAAAATTGGTACAGGCGTATGTCAGGGAGCAACAAATCCATCGGTTTGATTCTAGGCAATTCTCGAAAGAGGGAACTTTTGAAAGCCTCTGTAGTGAATGGATATATTGAAACGCGATCTATTTTCGAGTGCCTCCCCTCTTGTAAAGAGTAAATACAGGGTGGAATGTTGCTTTGACTCTTAATGTTGATTTTAGTTTTTGTTAATTTTCTTTTCTGCGAATTTAGTACGAGACGTCGGATGTGTTTGAAGCGGGGTCAAGTGCCAGGGAACCGCCGATATTTGGATATATTGAAATTTGGGCGAGAAAACGGCGGCGAATGAATTTGGACAGTGAAAGCGTGCCAGTTATTTGGATTCGTGAAGATGCGAAAAACCAAAAGGCACGCTTTCTTTTCTGTGGTGAGTGTCTCAAAAGTTTGTTTCATTTACTGAGCAGTAGGTATGCTGTTTTCACGAACAATGGATATGCTGTAAATTCGGATAACACGGCAGTTAGAACCTGTTGATTAATAGGTAGCGAGATATCTGGTTGTGGTAACGCTGGAACAACAAAAAAACTGGAGAAGATGAGACCGCGTTCGTCGTGTTCGGGATTACAGTTTCCCGTTGGGCGACTTCGTCACATCTTCCAGAAATGTACCTATTGTTATTGCGAAATTAAACCCCCTCTCTTTCTGCGAACATTAGACTTTGAACATAGGTGGATCCAGGACAGTCTCCTGCGGGCAGGGGGGGGGGGCGACAGAGGGGGTCAGGCAGACTTTTGTACAGTAAGGAGGAGA